GCATATTTTCAAACAAAAGTAAGAAGGAAAAAAAACAAAGAAAGTTTCTAATTTACAGTTAAAAAATTGTTTTACTTACTTGAGTAGGACATCTCTTTAGTCATTTTTTCTTCCTCTTTTCATTTTTTTAAACACAAATACTGAGATGCCTTGGTGTATTTTTTGACATTTGTCACTCTGAACTTTTTTGTGTTTTATTTTATTTATGTGTTTTGTTTTGCCCTTTCTACTATAATATTTTGGCTGCATTGGTTCAACTAATTATTTATATTTTGTATATTTTTTAATTACCTATTATTTTTGCGTTCATTAAATCTCACGAAAAATTATAAATTATGTAACAAAAAAATTTAATTTTGAGAAAATCAATGAAAAAAATTGGTCCAAGGTTACTTCGACATAACCTAGCCCTTGAAGTACAATCCAACAAATTTCCCTTCTTTGAAAAATTATATTATTATACTTATTATTAATTATTATACAATCGAACGAAATTTTCTGAATATTATTATTAATTTTCGAAAAAATGGGGTGACTTGTTCTTAATTTGACCAATAAAAAATTTGTGATGACGTCGTCAATATGAATAATTGTAGTCACGGCCAGTGCCGAAACTAGCTATAGGCTAAGTAGGCCCTTGCCTAGGGGCGCCAACGACAAGGGGCGCCAAATTCGTCCAAAAATTATGTTGTATAGTTTTGGAAATTTCATTGTACCCTATAAAATTTTATTGGCAATAACGAGACGGACAGTAGTACAATAGCAAGAGATATTTACAACTTAAGTTGTCGGGTGCCGGTAATCCCCAGATGAAAACCAGAATAATCCAGGTCCTAGCAGGGACCATCGTTACTTCTGAACGGAAATGACCATTATTTTATGAGTATAACTATCTGCCAAATGTTCTCAGACAAATTCGAGTGAACTGGTGTGAGCCATAAATATTTCTTACCATTGTACTGCTGTCCATCTCATTATCGTCAATAAAATTATATAGGGTAGAATGAAATTTCCAAAGCTATACTAAGAATTATGTCATATTATTTTTTTTTTATTTTGAACGGAAGCTCAGAAACATGTAACCGGTGCGACAGGTTTTTGAATGTTTATTTTATTTTGAACTTACATAATATTTATAGATTTATACATATTATATACCTACATGTATAATCTCGAATTTTTTTTTCTTTTTTTTATATTTTATCATAGTATCTGTTTTGCATACTTAAAAAATATACATAAAACTGTTCTGTAAAATTGGGGGGGGGGGGGGGCGCATAACGCAAGGTTCGCCTATAACTAAATATTCTTTGGTTTCGGCACTGGTCACGGCGCAAAAGAAAAGTAGTCACGGGGTTATACCAATGCAAGAAAAAAAAAGAAAAGGGCCACATTCGCAGTCGAACTCACAATTCTCTTCGATACATCCACTGTTCTACAAGGACGTACAAACCGTGTTGGGAATAAAATGTTATTATAGCTTCCAAATGTTTTTGGGAAAATTTGAACTTTTAGGAAAAAAAACTGAAAGTGGATTCGTAAGTACGAAAATATTTTTTCTTCAATTTATTTTAAAATACCATTCATTGAAATGATGTACTTAAATTGTTGGTAGGCATGATTAGCCAAATTTTGGTTGCATTTAATCATCTACATGTTATTTCTAATATACATACCAAATTTGACAACAATCGGTCCAGCAGTTTCGGAGAATACGTGGGGGTCATGAAACGTCGAGAAAATATAAAAGTGGCCATTCGTCTGATGCACTCTCTTACTATATTTTCTTAGCTTACGCTCGGGAAGTAAAAATGGCATCTATCAGCAATATTTTCTGTTATAACACATGCAGTTTATTAAAACAAATCAGAATTATGAAAGTTTGAGCTTTATTATCTTCAAAAATTTGGTTCAGGGATTTTTTTACCATTTTTTTGAGTTTTTCGGAGTCTTCTTCACAAAGTACCATCGAGCTTATACGTCTTTCTTGGAACATCCTGTATAGTGTTTGGTTTTGAGGCATAGCACACAACGTACTTTGTTGTAAATAGAACACCCTATATTTTTTTGACATATTTTCGTTGGCCTCTTCTTTAACTTTATTTATTTTTTTGTTTATTTTTTAAATTCCACTGCGACATTGCCACGTTATTCTAATTTTCACAAAAAAAAAAAACGAAATATTGTTAGTTTAAAATCTGTGTAGCAATCATTTGTGGAGAGATAAATACTTTGTCGTTGTATAAATTATATACAATTGTAATATACAGAGTGTTTATAAAAAAGTTATAAAACCCTACAGTTTTCAAATATGTATTGATATTTGAGTTTTTTCAAAAGGAACACCTATGTTTTATTATTGCATCTTACTCTATTTTTGTTCTCTTTCTTCAAAATTTCGATGTGTCTCTCAAAAATATATAAAGTGCACTAATCATCGACTTTACATATAGAAATTACTTACCAAAAAAAAAAAAGATAACAAAAAACATAATAAGATGAAGGAATAAATGTAGGGTATTCTATGTATTTGAAAAAACTGAAGATTTGAAAACTGTAAATTTTTAAAAAGTTTATAAACACTCTGTATATTAAGTCTGAGTTTATTTCTACCACGACAAATCTCGTACTTTTGTAGTTTAATATATGGTTCTCAAAGAACAGTGCAACTTTAGTCTTTGATTTATTTTTATATTTCTTATAACAAATGAGTTATCGAATAGAGCGCATTGACTGAGTCACCCTGTATATATAATACTGAAATCTCGATAATGTTTTCTCTTTTATTAAACTCCGGTATTAAATATTATCTCAGAAAGAGTGAATGTAACTTTAATTTTGCCTAAATCTGGGTGCAATGTTGTGATTAGTGTTACATTGTACTTTCCGCAATTAATGTATTCGCCACCATTGAAAAGAATACTTAAATCATTTCAATATTTATCAAATATATTCAGCGAGAGAAATTTGGAAATTTTTTTCCAATGAACCATTTTCTGTTTTTCAATTTTTAACTTTTTTGAAAATCAATACACTTTAAAAGCTAGAACTAAAATGTCAAAAAGTATCGTTAATAAAAATAATTCATGAACGCCAAATTAATTTTTTATTTCAAATGTTTTACTTCAGTTGTCTTTTTTCTTTATCTTTTTCTGTTTAGTTTATTTTACTTTATAAATGAACAATATGACAACAAACTAGTCCGGTATTTTTTTTTGTTCCAGTTTAATTAAATTTAAAAAATGTTTTATTTACTTGAGTAGAAAATTTCCTTAACCATTTTTTCTTCCATTTTAATTTTTTTTACAAAATAAATACTGACGTGTTTTAATGTGTTTTTTGACATTTGTTACTTTGTATTTTTTTGTGTTTTATTTATTTATTTGTTTTCCAATTCTACTTTCATATTTCGGCTGCATTGGTTTAAGTTATTATTTTTTACATTTTGTCTGTTTTTTAATTACCTATTATTTTTAAGTTCATTAAGAACCTCACGAAAAATCTTAATTATGTAAGATCATTTATTTCAGTTACCTACAAAACTACAACTGAATTTAATTTTGAGAAAATTAATGAAAAACGTTTGGAATAGTTGTAGACATTTCACGTTTACGTAACACTCTCCGAATTGCCTAAATATCATGTGTTACAAAAAACCAAAAAACCCAAAAATCGCAAAAGCGAAACAAGTCATAAAAGTTCTTAACACCACATCCCGCATCGCAAATTCCCAACCATCTCGAAAACCATAAAATACCCAACAACCAAACAAAACAACGTTTCTAAGCGTTTAGAAAGTTGAACTTGTACAAACACCAAACGCAAAAAACCTTGTTTTCCGTTAATTACGATCCACATTAAAACTTCCACAACACTCGATTTATCGCTGCCCGATAAAAGCCGCTATTTATGTAACACGCAAGAATTCGAATAAATATGCAATCACATGTGCAGATCAATTAAGTACTACAAACAGGTGTTTAATTTTTGCAAAGTGCATTTTCAGTTTTTGCAATTCTAATCAATGCGTGTGGCATATTACCACACGGATCCATTTACTCCTCAACCTAAACTTTAAATGGTAAATTAATTACGACAATTTTCGTGATGGATTGCAGTTCTGAATGCGAGTTCACACAGACAAGTGCTTGCTGTCTTTGACCCTAGAGACATCGTTATGCAATTCTTCTGCAATCTCCCGTAACGGCTGACGCTTGATTTAAAAGTACGACTTTTGAAATTTTTATGGTACCGATAGTTCGTCGCAGGGGACTCATAATTGGATTTTTGCTGACATTTGACCACACCTGTGTGGCTACTTGTGACATCATTTGGGCTAGACGGTGAAAGAGGATTTGCACTCTTGAAGTAGTACCTTGAGAAAAATTTGATCTATGCGTTGTATACAGAATCAATCTTGTCTGGCTTAATTGCTCTGTTAACCTTAATTCGCCACAAAAACATCCTATTTTATTCAAAGACGCAGTACCGATCGACTTGACATCAAAATTATGGATTCAGTTCCATGCGTCTTTCATTCAATAAAATAAAAGTTACTCTTGTGTCAAAATTCAATGTTATCTACCATTTCGTCATTCATTCACAGTTAAGGTCATGGGCCACATTATGTGCTGCGTAATGGTACTGGCAAAAAATCGCCCATTTACATTCATTGGTCGTACCCATCAATTAAAAGTGTAACACGGTTCATTATTCTATAACTAGCTTTATTTTTATCCGATGATGCTACTCTATTTTGAAGTGGATGCAAATGAGGTGCTCTTGACCCAACTGTCGCTTGGATTAAGACCTTCACCATTTATATTGTCCGAGGAATGCAAAATCGAAGGTAATCTTAATCTCGTTCTTCGGACATTTAAAACAATGACGCAAGTCAAACTGGAATATTGTTACCTAATTCTTCCTTCATAACTGTGTTCACTTTCAGTTTCCGGTAATTGTTATCGGTACCACTTTTAACAAAACTATTTTTGTTTCAGTTGATGCTAGCTATTGCTCGTCCGATCGAATCATCGACCAGTGACTGGAACAACCCATCGAGCAACCAGTACCACATCCAGACTGACGAGGGTCCTGAACGGTACTTCCGTTACCAGACCCAGAGCGGTCAGTACCGGAAGGAAAAGCGTCTGGAGGATGGGAGCGTCGTTGGTACTTACGCTTGGATCGACGATAATGGGTTTCTGAGACAAAGGGACTACATTGCGGACAATGAGGGTTACAGGATCTTGAAAACTAAGAATCTGTTCGTTGGACGGGACACTCCGATTAATGTGGCGATCAAGTCGGCGAAGAAAGTACCGGCGTCTGCTGGTACTTTGGTGAAGACGAATAGTGTGCCTAAGCCTACTGCTAACCCTGTGGCGACGCCATATGTTGAGATTAAACAGAACTCGATACCGTCGTCGACCCCGGCGCCGTTCGAGTATCCAACGACGCCGGTACCACTCGCTAGTACCGCGTCTCCGCTTAACAATTTGTATCTTCCAGCGAATACAGGTGAGTTTTTACTACCAAGTTTTAATGGACACTTCTAATTGGTACGACGTTTACAGTGGCCTTGGACCCTCAACGCAGTACCATCATCCCATCTCCATCGCCCCCCACTCCCTTCAGCGTGAGCCCGTGGTACTCCAGCGACCCTCAGTACGAAAACAACCGCAAGGACCCCTACCCCTTCCACTTCGAGAACGGTCCGACGTACCCCATCGACAACCGCGGCCAGACTTATACTGGTAACGGTAACAATCTGGGCAACGGGTACGACCCTCAGTACGACTACTACGACGGAGTTTCGGTGACCAATGACGGCTTCCGGTACTACATCCCGAGGGCCTATCACGAAGAGCAGAACCTCCCCAACGATAAAAAATCCGGGAGTTTCGGGTACATAGACCCTTTTGGTATCCGAAGGGTGATCTACTACAACGCGGCTCCTGGTACTGGGTTCCAGCACAGGAAAAATAATAGATATGTAGGTTTCGATGCGACGCCTTACGACCCAAGGCCTTACTAAATGAATCGATTTGAATAATTGCGATATTTATGCACGCCAACATGAACGATTTTAACATACTAAACACGTGCTTGTGACAAATTTAACCGGTGGTTCCTGCTGCAGTTCGTAATTGCAGGTCTGTGTCGTTAATCACTGCCGAATGGAGTCAGTAGGTGGATTTTTTTGGATGATTTGTGGCGGTTGCTAAATCGTCTGGTTGTAGAGTAGGACTAATTTTTTGCACTTATTTATTTAATTAGAGTGGATTAGAGTAAGAATTTTAATGAGAGCGTGTTGCACAAGTTGTAAGGTCCTATGAATCACAGTTTATAATTGTCGCACGCCATTAATGTACATAATTTTATTAATTTCTTCTGTTGTTATAAACTCTAGTTCGAGGACCTGGTTTATCAGCAGTGTGTTTTAAGTTATAGTAATTTATGTTTTTGTAAATAAATAATGAATGAACGTCCTTCTGTATTTCTTCCGGGTTAGACGATAAATAAAAACTCCCTAGTGGTTGACCATGAGTTTTGAAAAATTTGAATCGTGGAATAATTTAGTCAAAATTTTCGACTATTTGACTAAGTTGTTATGAATTGACCTGACATCTGTTATGGAGTCTTTATTTTCCTTTACCTGTTTTATAATTTTCTTTTATGTTTAGATGTTCCCATTTCGTGTACTTCCTCGTGTCAAAATTTGGAAAATAAATTTTATTACTTTCAAATACATAAAATACTGATCTGTCTGAACTTAAATCGCTTTATTGAACACCTTAGACCTCGTAATACAAATATTAAAGTCAAAATTCATTTCTGAACTTGAAAAATTAAAAACTAAAAAATTTAAAATCGAGAAGTTTGAAAACTGAAAAATTGAAATACAGTACAATTCGAAAAAATGAAAAATTAAAATCTAGATACTGAAAACCGAAAAACTGAAAAATTTTAAAAGTAAAAATTGAAAATAAAATATTGAAAAGCTGGAAAATTAAATTTGGGAAGATCAAAGTGATGTAACGGAATCACTAAAAATTTTGGAAAATTGAAAAATCGAAAAGTTAGAAAACGAAATAATTCTATGGAAAAATTGAGGCAATATAAAATTGAAAAATTAAAAATTGAGAAACTGACAAACGAAAATGTGGAAACTTCCAAGTTGAAAAATCGCAACCGAAAAGTTTAAATTTGAAGACTCTTAAAATTGCAAATCGAAAAATAACAAAATAAGTAGCAAAATAAAAATCGAAAAACTGAGAAATCGTAAAATTGAACGTGAAAAATTAAAAACCGAAAAATTTTAAATCCAAAAATCTCAAAATTCAAAATTTGACAGTTTAAAACTGAAAAATCTAAAAATTGTAAAATAAAAATCGAAAAATGAGACATTTTAAAATTGAAGTTGAAAAATTAAAAACCGAAAAATTTAAAATCGAAAAATCTCAAACTTGGAAAGTCGAAATAGCAAAATTGTAAAATTTATAATTCGGAAATTTGAAAATTTAAAAACATTTGCAAAGCAAAATTGAAAAATCGAAAATTAGGAAAATCGCAAAAGTGTAATATCGAAATATTAGAAAGATAAATTTGAAAAAAATCAAAGTTGGGCGTAAATGAAAAACTAAAAATCACAAAATTGAAAATTCGAAAAATTGTGAAATTGGCAAAATTCAAAAATTTTAAAGTAGCAAAACTAAATTTGAAAAAATTAAAAATCCAGGAATTGAAATACTAAAAAATTTAAAATTGAAAAATTAAAAAATGAAAAATCGAAATACTTATTGCAAAACTGAAATATCGAAAAATCGGGACATTAAAAATCGAAAAAACCATAAATTTAAAAACTGAAAAATGTGAAAATAGAAAAATCAAGAAATTTCGAAAGCTGAAAATGGAATAAATTGTAAAACTGAAAAATCGAGAAAAAAGCTCAACTGAAAAATTGTAAATTTAAAAACTTAAAACTGCAAATCGAAAAATTGCAAAATAAAAATTGAAAAACTCAGAAATTGTAAAATTGAACTTGAAAAATTAAAAACCGAAAAATTTGAAAAAGAAAAATTTCAAATTTGAAAAATCTGAACAGCAAAATTGTAGAATTAATAATTAGAAAATTTAAAATCTCAATAATCTAAAGAATAAAAATCGAAAATTAGGAAAATCTCAAAAGTGTATATCCAAATATTAGGAAATTAAATAAAACAAAAATCAAAGTTGGGTAAATGGAAAACCAAAAATTAAAAAACTGAAAAATCGAAAAATTGTAACATGCGCAAAATTAAAAAAAAAAAATAATTAAAATTGAAATATTAAAAAATGAAAAATCCAAATACCTGTTTAATAATTGCAAAACTGACCAGTCGAAAAATTAAAAATCGACAAATCGATAAATTTAAAAACTGAAAATTGAAAAATCCAGAAATTCCGAAAGCTGAAAATGTAAAAACTGTTAAATTTCAAAAACAAAATTGAAAAATCGAAAAAATAGAAACTGAGAAATAGAAAAATCGAAAAAAGCTCAACTGAAAAATTTTAAACTTCAAAACTAAAAACTGCAAATAGAAAAATTATAAAATAAAAATCGAAAAACTGAGAAATCGTAAAAAAGAAGTTGAAAAATAAAAAGCGTAAAATTTTAAATTCGAAAAATCTAAAAATTGAAAAATTCAAAGCCGGGAAATTGAAATTCCAGAAATCAATGAAACGAACAATGAAAAATCGAGTGATTAAATAATTAAAATCTAAAAATTGACAAGTTTGAAAAATTTAAAGATCGAAAGATTCGGAAGCTGAAAAATTGTAATTCAAAAATTGATGAAACATGAAATTGAAGAATCGAAACATTAAAAATCGAAATTGCAAAATTGAAAAATTAAAAATTGAACAATCTAAAGAGTAAAAATCGAAAAACTAAAATATCGACAAACCGGAAAATTAAATTTGGAAAATTTAAAAAGTGACGTAACCGAAAAAGCAAAAAATTTTGGGACATTGAAAAATCGAAAAATCGATTGGTAAATCTAAAAACTGAAGCTCAAAAAATTTGAAAGCTGGAAAGTTTTATCGAAAAATTAAAAATCAAGAAAATTGACAAATCCAAAATGTGGAAAGTTCAAAGCTGCAAAAATCTCAACTGAAAGAGTCTAAATTTGAAAACTCTTAAAATTGAAAATCGAAAATTTGCGAATCAAAATTGAAAAATCGAAAACCAGGAAAATCGCAAAACTGAAATTCGAAAAATCGGAAAATTAAATTTATAAAAAGTCGGATAACTGAAACACTAAAAATCAAAAAACTGAAAAGCAAAAATTGTAAAATTCGCAAAATTAAATTTTAATCGGAAAATTGAAAAATCAAGAAATTTCAAAAGCTGAAGGTGGAATAAATCGTAAAACTGAAAAATTGCAAAAAATTGAAAAACCGAAAAATTAAAAATTGAGAAATCGTAAAATTCGATTTGAAAAACAAAAATCTAAACATTAAAAATTCTAAACATTAAAAACCGAAAAATTGTGAACCAAATTGAAAAATTGTAAAACTGAAAAATTGAAAAATTAATTTTGAAAAATTTAAAGCCGAGAAAATGAAAAACCAAAAATCGATAAATTGAGCAACTAAAAATCGAGAATTTAAATAATCAAAAAATCTAAAAATTGGAAAATCGGACACTTTAAAGGCAAAATTTGTAAGTTGAAAAATCGAAAAATTCTAATTCAAATATTGAAGGAACATAGAACTGAAAAGTTTAACATAGAACTGAAAAGTTTAAAAGTTGATAAATCAAGCGAAAGATTGAATAATTGAAAAATTCAAAAGTTGGAAAATCTGGATAGTAAAAATTTCTAAAAATTGCAAATCGAAAAACTACAAAATAAAAATCAAAAAATGGAGCCCAATTGAAATGGATTTTAAAGATGGAAAATCTGAGTAATCGTAAAACCGAGGAACTTTAAAAAAATTAAAATTTGTGCAATTTAAGAACAAAAACTTCAACTGAAGCAATATCGTAAATAAACTAAATAAAAAAAAAATGTTAAAAAAGTTAAACACATAATAACCTTCTTAAGAGTGTTTTTTTTGGTATAGTCATATTCAACATGGCATTAAACTTAGGTTTTATGGTACACCAAAGAATATCTAAACCTCTTACGCTTTACTCCTTTCATCTTCGATATGTTGGTTGCCCAGCATGTTGCATCTATTCTTTCCAATATCTTTGTATATCACATTGATTTATTCGGAGGATATGCAACCAACAAAACTTAGACTTACTTCTATAATACACAATACTTACTTTTTTTGACTTCCAAATGAAATTTGCTGCTTTATTTGGAGATGATTTGTTTTAAAGTAATCTTTGATGTTCTTGCCACGTTATTTTTAATGAGAATATAACAATTTTATTATTGTTATGTAGGAAGGTTCCTTGCTTACTCAACTATTGAAATTACCGACTTATACACAGTTATTTCAGAATTTTTATTTAGTTTTTTATTAGTTATTTGGTAAATTTAACCATTTTATCAGTTAAGAAATTCAATTTCAAAATTTGCAAAATTTTTGGCATTGGCTGTTAAATTTTCAGTCTTTGTTAGATAATTTCAGACATTACTTTTGTTATTAACTTATTTATTATTATCATATTGGTGCTTAAACCCCAACAAAAATTAATCCTTTAAAATAAAATTTAGAAAAATAAAACGGTTGAAATTCATTTTGAGCTGTGTGGCATTTTTAGTTGTATGTAACCAACAATACACCTTAAAATCAAGGCTGACATGCGACTTTAGTTTTTTTCAACTTTTATTCGATCAATATTATGTAAATACGTCTGTGAGGTCTAAAGAAGTATTAGTATTTAAACTCTCGGGACCCATTTTTGCATTTTAGGAATTTTTAGTGGTATGCAACCAACAATACAAACTTAAAATCAACTATTAAATGCTCTCTTATTTTTAAATTTTTATTTAATCAAAATACACAATAAGTGAAAAACACACACATTCATTTCAAAACAACAACAACCTCTGTACACCCCTCTTCAACTAATCGGATACCAAATAAACTCGAAGTTCTTCAACCCGAACGTCTTCTCAGACCCTTCTTTTGGAACCTCATCCGAAGCCAAATCCAACCTAACAAACTTAACCTTCGGCCTAAAACCGTTCTCATCCGCCACATAAGTAACAATCCTGCTAATCCCATCGCGTCCCGTCACAAAGTACCCACCAACCTTAGCCCCATTCTTCAAACCCTTCTCGTAGTGACCGTGGAACCCAACAGTATAATTAAACTTATAGAGCAAATCCGTGACATCCTTTTCCGTAATTCCATTCGGAAGCCCATCAACCATCCCTGGGAACTTATCCCGGATTGGAATATCCTGATTACCGGGAACGTGAATAACGCCGTCTTTGACACTAACTTGTGACAGCGGTCGACGAGGGTTGGAGGCGTCGATTTCGTTCTGTCTTTGATTGGAGGGGTAAATGGAATTGGGGACACCTCCACCTGGAGTGGGACTTGAGGGGACGGAACCTCCATGGATGCGATTGGGTGTCAAAGGAGATCCAGGCGTCTGTTGGATGCTTCCTGGTCTTTGATTCGGGAAGCTGGATTTGCTTGGGGTTTGATAATTGGGTCCAGAGGTTTGACCACCACCAACGGCGCCGTTTTGTTGACTAGGCTTCTGGAAAGCGGGTGTTTGGAACGGGAAGCGCTCGCCAGGTCTAGGTTTAGGCGTTGTTACATAGCCGCAGCCTCCACACGCTGGTTTAATGGTTGGTTGCGTGGTAAAAGCGAACGTTGTTTTCGCTGTGGTTTGCACTTGTTGGTTCTGGAATTGGTTTCTTTCGTCTATGGATGGGTATTTTGGTTGCTGGCGAACCGGAGCTGGTGGTTGGGGCTGGACTTTACCCGCTCCTGCGTAGCTCTCGATTTTGGCTCCAGGAGGAAGCGGTGATCCATCAAGCGCTACAATTCTTGTATTAATTTTTTTTAAATTTAATGAGCAATAACTTACGTGCACTTATTCGAATGTTTCTCATGCTGAGAATCTTGAAGTTCCCGTTTTCGTCAGTGGCGTACACCGTCACGTGATAAATACCATCGGCAGTAATGAACCCGAACTCTCCTTGAATAATCCCATTAACATCTGCAACAATAAATAAACGAGGATGAAATTTATGGCGCGCCTGGACGCCGCTAAAACCATTATTTCTGTGTATGGTAATGGGTTTTGGTCAAGGATTTTCGCTGAAAAAATGAATGGGTCCATTGTCCTCACCTTTCTTCTCGTGCCTGTGCTGCTCACCATCGATTGTGAATCCGAACTCGTAAGGCCTACTCTCATCGGCATTTTTTTGACACGCTACTACCAAAAAGGTCACGACGATGCCGAAAACCTGAAACGACGAGAAAATTTCAGCTTTTTATAGACACTGAAAAGGTGAAGGCCGGAACACCCGAACTCAGCTTGGCTTGATCAGATTTTGATATTTTCGACTAATTTTGATTAATTAATTGCGTTGAATAAATCGCAACGATTTATGGACGCGGAACTGTCTTTAATTTAATTTAATTTAATCAAACACGGGTTGCTAATTGCACTGATTAGTAAATTAGTCGTTGTTTATAATGATGTAATCCAATTGATGCAGAGAAAACGAAAGAATTGTTATTTGTGCCATAATATATACGCCCTTGAAGAAACGGATAGAAAGGCAGTTCGCAAGAATTTATTACAAAATGTTAATGAGAGGGATGAAGGCGATGGGCCTGGTCCTATAATTGTTTGACTCTAGGGCATAAGCTATAAAAAACAGCCATCACCTGAATGCGGTTTTTCGATTGGCCAATGTTTAAACATTAGCTAAATCAAGGAGAAGTTTGTCAACATTTGAATTGATGTTCTGCAAATAGCGAATATTTGTGTGGCTCCGGTTTCCTTGATATAAATTTGATAATCAAATAGCGCCAAATGACACGTGCTGGGTAATATTAATGGGCGGTCTTTGTTAATCTCCCTTTCGATTAAACTTCAAGGATGGAATGCATTAAAATCGACGTACTTGTGTCGGTTTTTTATAATTTTGCGTGGCTGCCCACGTTTGCTGATACTTCGGTTGTTATTTTTTTATTTTGGGATTTTATGAGGTGATGGGAATGTTGTTCTCAATGATGATTAAATTGTTTGAATTTTTATTGATAAAATTAACGCTTGAGAGGTATGTGGGATGAAGTGTAAAAATTAAATCATCAAGGTGGTTTGTAGCATAACAGTAGCAAATGGTGGCAAGTTGACATCAAACAAAGTGATTAATTGGATGCCTTGACTTTTGTTTGATACTGTACTTTCATTCATTATTTACTAATTAATTTAGGTCAACACTTGTTTTTTAACAACGTTTTATTGATTTTATCCATTTAAGGTATTATAATTCATTAAAAAAGTGATAATACATTTTTTTTATTGAAAAGGCACAACAGAATTTGTAATTGCACAATATTAGTTATTTTTATTTATGTATCTCTTCTAGAACTTCAATGACGTAATCTTCACGGTAATATTAAATGAATATTTATTACTCTATTGTTTGTGCTTTATTTATTATTGTTTACATGGATGTATTTAACCAATGATTGCCTGATACAATTTTTTTTATTGATTGCCTCAGGAACTTGATTTAAATCTATACTGAAAAGTAGGTTCTCTCATAGGTTGAGGTTTAGCGGCTAGAAAATATATCGATAAAAGATTCTCACTTATTAAAAAAAGGGACTTAATAATAGCAAAGAGTAGCTGCACAAAAATCAAAAAATTAGAAACATTATGAAAAAAATTTTGTACGAAAATAACACCACCACGAATTAGAAGAAATTAGCTAGAGAAATAAAATCAGGGTGTAATCAAAATATTGACTTAACACTTATTACGAAGAATATTCTCTTTTAAAATATTCTCAAGAGACAGACGGACAAAAACAGAGAACGGTATTTTTGTGTTCTACGAGCTGTGAAATTGTGAAATATGGAATTATAGTAAGAATGAAAATATTTAATAGGTGATTCTTAAAGTTTTAACACTGAAGAGAACATAATGTGTTATACAGGATGTTTCATCAAGTTAGTAAAAAATATTAAATTATTAGTTTATTACTATGATATTTGGGATTTTTTTAAAAAGTAAAAATGATAATAAAATGATCAGAACGTGTAGAAGATGCGCTTTAGGTTAAAAAAAAATATATATAAGAACTTTATTGATCTGATTTTTTTAACTTGCTGATTATTTTTAAACAAAGCTTTGAAGATTAAACTTTCATTTAAGGTTTAAACATTATTATTACAAATTGTTCATGCATTTACTTGTTAAACTAATCACCAATAATGAAGATTTATTGTCCTTGAAACGGATCCGCCTTGAAACTCAGAACATTATTTTACATTTGTTTAAAAAAATTCAAGTAGATAGTTTCCATGATTTTTGCTCCTTCTAAATTTTTTAAACAATACCTCAACATGTTTTAGATAAAACACATGTTAAAGGTAATTTAAAAGAAAAAACTATAACGTGTTAATAGAACATGTAGAATTTAGGTTTTTCGTAAAAAAAAATAAATTATTGCTAAATTATTCAGGATTTTGAAAAGTAGAAAAAAATCACAATGAATTGGTTACAACTTGTAGAAGACAATTTTTAGATTGAAAAAATATAACAATTTTATTCATCTGATATTTTTTTTAACTTGCTGAATGTTTTTAAACAAAGCTTCAAACATTTAAGCTTTAATTTATTGTTTAAGGATTGTTATTACAAATTGTTTACGCATTTATCTCTTAAATTAATCATCAGTTATGAAGACATATTGTCTTTGAAACGGATCCGCCTTGAAACCTAGATTATTATTTTAAATCTGTTGCTATTCGTCGCCTGAGAACTTGTTTGATCCACAGACCGGAGTGCACTCAGGGCAATGTCGACTCTAAGCGTTCAGAATTTCTACGGGAAGATGAATTAATTCTTTAATTGTGTTTGATAGTAACAAAACGTCCTCCATTAGCAATACTGGTGGAACCGTAATCATGCAATAGACTTTTTTCGGGAAAGTGCAGTTTTTTTTGTTTTGGAAGCATTGTGTTCTATTTTCTATTAATTTTTGCATATTTTATTCACAATTTTGGTGGTTTTTTATTTTTCATACTGTCTCAATTTTTCGATTTTTCGACTTCTCGACTTCTCGATCTTTTTTGATTTTCGATGCTTCGATTTTTGAATTTGATTTTTCAATTTTCCAATTTCTCAAATTTTCGAGTTTCGATTTCTCGAGTTGTTGATTTTCGAATTTTAATTTTTTTGATTTTTTTGAAATTTGAATTTCCCTATTTTTCAGTTTTACGGTATTTAATGTTTTAAATTTTAGATTTTCCGATTTTCCAGTTTTTCAAATTTTGACGAATCTGAATGTTCTGTTTTCCGATTTCTCAATTAATCTATTTATTTATTTTCCCAATTTTTTGATTTTTCAGTTTTTCGACTTTTCAAGTTTGTGATTTTTCGACTTTACTTTTTTGACTTTTCGATTTCTCAATTTTTCAGTTTTTTAATTTCCCAATTTTTGGGTATTTCGTTCAATTTTGTGATTTTTCAGTTTTCGATTCAATTTTTCTTCTATTTTTCAATTTTTCGATATTTCGGTTTTGGGATTTTAAAGTATTTCGACTTTTCGATTTTTTGAGTTCTGGATTTTTCAATTTCTCGACTTTTACTTTTTTGATGTTTCAATTTTTCGACTGTTTTAGATTTCGATTTCTCAATTTTGCAACTTTTCGATATTTTTACTTTTCAGTTTTTTAAATTTTAGGTTTTTCTATTTCTTGAGTTTTCAGTTCTTCTGTATTTCTATTTTTCAATTTTTGGAATTTTTAAATTTTCGATTTTCCAAATTATTTTTTAATTTTTCAATTTTATAATTTTTCAATATTTCGAAATATAAATGGCCAAATCGAAAAGTTAAAAATGGAAAAATGGATAAATCGAGAGATTGAACAATCAAAACATCGAGACATCCGAAACTCAATAAATCGGGATCTCAAAAAATTGAAAAATCGAAAATTTAAAACTTCGGAAAATTGAACAATTAAAACAGAAGAACTGAAAATCGAGAAATCGAAATATCTAGAATTTTAAAAAGAAAATTGAGATACCCAAAAAATGGGAAATTAAGAAATTGCAAAAAAGCAAAGTGGAAAAATCGGAAATCGAAGAATTGAAGAACTGAAAAATCGAAACTGAAAAGTCGAGAAATGCAAAAATCAAAAATAGATTAATTGAGAAATCGGAAAACTGAAAATTTAGCAACGTCAAATGTTTGAAGAACAGAAAAATAAAAAAGAAATCGGAACCTCAGAATTAAAAAATTTGAAAAATTGAAAAGTCGGTTAACTGAAAAATAGAAACGTCGAAAAATTGGAAAATCAAAAAATTGAAAAGCCCAAAAGTAAAAAATCGATCATTCTCGGTTGATCCAAGAATCGAAACATCGAAAAATTAAAAATCTGAGACATCGAGAAATCGAAAAATCAGAGGATCGACAAATCGGGGAGTCGAAAACCGACAAGAAAAATGAAAAACTGAAATATTGATGAATCTAGAAATTGAACAAACGAAACACCGAAAATCTGAAAAAAGAAAAATTGGAAAATCGAAAAATTAAAAATTCGGAAAATTGAAAAATTGAAATATACATAGAAGAATTGAAAACTCGAGAAATCGAAAACCCTAAAATTTTAAAAATTGAAAAATTTAAATTTCGAAAAGTTGAAAAATTGAAAAATCGAAGTATAAAACAGTGGAAAAATTGAAAAATGTAAGGTTTAAAAAACGAAAAATTCAAAATTCAGAAAGTAAGAAGACGAGAAATCGAAAACTCCAGAACTCGAAAAATCGAAACGTCGAAATACTAAAAAATCGCAAAACTCAAATATCGAAAACTTGAAAAATACAAGAAAAATTGAAGAACCGGAAAGTCAAAAACGCAAAGTCGAAAAACCGCAAACTTAAAAAATTGAAAAATTTGAAAAATCAACAAATCGAGAAATCAAACCCTCAGAATTTAAAAAATTGAAAAATTGAAAAATCGGTTAACTGAAAAATAGAAACATCGAAAAATTGGAAAATCGAAAAATTTTAAACAAGAAAAATTGGAAAATTGAAAATTTAAAAATTCCAACAATTGAAAAACCGAAATAAACAAAAACTGAAAACTCAAGGAATCGAAAAACTTAGAATCATAAAAATTGAAAAAGTTTAAAAACATTGAAAATCCTAAAAATAAAAAATCGAGAAATATTGAAAAATCCCAAAACTGAAATAAATATTCAAAAAATTGAGAAATTAAAAGAGCAATGTCGAAAAACCGCACACTTAAGAAATCGAAAAATTGAAAAATTGAAACATTAAAAATCTGAAAAATTGAAAAACTGAACAATTGAAGAACTGAAAAATCGAAACTTTGGAAAGTCGAGAAATGGGAAAATAAAGAAAAATTACTTCAGAAATCGTAAAACTTAAAATTTAGAAACGTCCAAATTTGAAAAATTAAAAAATCGCAATATTTTTTTAAAAATCGTGAAACTGAAGAGGACAAAGCTTGAGAAATCATCAGTGAGGCATAGAAAAATTGAGAAATCGAAAAATCTAGAATTTTAAAAATAGAAAATTTAAAATATCGAAAAGTTGAAAAATTGAGATACCCAAAAAATGGGAAATCAAGAAATCGCAAAATTAGGAAATTGAAAAACCAAAAAAGCAAAGTCGGAATTCGAAAATCGAAGAATTGAAAAATCGAAACTGAAAAGTCGAGAAATGCAAAAATCAAAAATAGATTAATTGAGAAATCGGAAAACTGAAAATTTAGCAACGTCAAATGTTTGAAGAACAGAAAAATAAAAAAGAAATCGGAACCTCAGAATTAAAAAATTTGAAAAATTGAAAAATCGGTTAACTGAAAAATAGAAACGTCGAAAAATTGGAAAATCAAAAAATTGAAAAGCCCAAAAGTGAAAAATCCATCAACCGAGAAATTCAAGAATCGAAACATCGAAAAAATCAAAAACTGAGACATCGAGAAATCGAAAAATTAGAGGATCGAGAAATTGAGGTCGAAAACCGAGAAGAAAAGTTAAAAATTCAAAAATTGATCGAGATCGAGATCGAGAAATCGAACAATCAAAACATCGAAACACCTGTATAGATAAATCGAGAAATCAAAAAAGTGAAAAATCGAAAAATTTTAAACAAGAAAAATTAGAAAATTCAAAAATTCCAGTAGTTGAAAAATAAAGAAAAAGTCCAGAATTCGAAAAACTTTGAATTATAAAAATGGACAAATTAAAACATCGAAAAGTTGAAAAATCTAAAGTTTAACGAAAAATTGAAAATCCAGAAAGTCAAAAATCGAAAAATATTGAAAAATCCCAAAACTGAAAGAAATATTCAAAAAATTGAGAAATTAAAAAATTGAAATATTGAGACATCGAAAAATTAAAAAAACAAAGTCGAAAAACCGTAAGCTTAAAAAATAGAAAAATTGAAAGATCAAAAACCTGAAAAATCAAAAAATTGAAGAATTGAAGAAGTGAAAAATCGAAACTTTGGAAAGTCGAGAAATTAAAAAAAAGAGTACATCAGAAATCGGAAAACTCAAAATTTAGAAACGTCCAAATTTGAAAAATTGAAAAATCGAAATACTTTTTTAAAAATCGTGAAATTGAAGGGACAAAACTTGAGAAATCGTATCATTGAAGCATAGAAAAATTGAGAAATCGAAAAATCTAGAATTTTAAAAATAGAAAAATTTATATATCGAAAAGTTGAAAAATTGAGATACCCAAAAATTGGGAAATTAAGAAATTGCAAAATTGAGAAATGGAAAAACCAAAAAAGCAAAGTCGAAAAATCGAAAATCGATGAATTGAAGAACTGAAAAATCGAAACTGAGAAGTCGAGAAATGGAAAAATCAAAAATTGATTAATCGAGAAATCGGAACCTCGAATTTAAAAAATTGAAAAATCGGTTAACTGAAAAATAGAAACATCGAAAAATTGGAAAATCAAAAAATTGAAAAGCCCAAAAGTAAAAATCGATCAACCGAGAAATCCAGGAATCGAGACATCGAAAAATTCAAAAACTGAGACATCGAGAAATCCAAGAATCAGAGGATCTAGAAATTGAGGTCGAGAACCGTGAAGAAAAGTTAAAAATTGAAAAATTTAAAAATTGATGACTCATAAATCGAGAAATCAAAAAACTGAAAAATCGAAGAATTTTGAACAAGAAAAATTGGAAATTTGAAAATTTAAAAATTCCAATAATTGAAAAACTGAAATAAAGTAAAACTCGAGAAATCGAAAAACTTAGAATTATAAAAATTGAAAAATTAATACATTGAAAAGTTGAAAAATCTAAAGTTTAACGAAAAATTGAAAATCCAAAAAGTAAAAAATCGAGAAATATTTAAAAATCCCAAAACTGAAGGAAATATCCAAAACATTGAGAAATTAAAAAACTGAAATATTGAGACATCAAAAAACTAAAAAAGCAAATTCGAAAAACCGTAAGCTTAAAAAATCTAAAAATTGAAAAATCAAAAATCTGAAAAATCGAAAAATTGAAGAATTGAAGAAGTGAAAAATCGAAACTTTGGAAAGTCGAGAAATTAGAAAAAAAAAGTACTTCTGAAATCGGAAAACTCAAAATTTAGAAAAGTCAAAAGTTTGAAGAATAGGAAAATGAAAAATCGAGAAATCGAAACCTCAGAATTTAAAAAATTGAAAAATTGAAAAATCGGTTAATTGAAAAATAAAAACATCGAAAAATCAGAGGATCGAAAAATTGAGAAGAAAAGTTAAAAATTGAAAATTTGATGAATCGAGAATTCGAACAATCAAAACATCGAAACACCTGAATTCGATAAATCAAGAAATCAAAAAACTGCAAAATTGAAAAATTTTAAACAAGAAAAATTGGAAAATTGAAAAATTCCAATAATTGAATAATTGAAATAAAGAAAAACTCGAGAAATGGAAAAACTTAGAATTATAAAAATTGAAAAATTAAAACATCGAAAAGTTGAAAAATCTAAAGTTTAACGAAAAATTGAAAATCCAAAATTTAAAAATTGGATTAATTAAAATATAAATTAAAGAAGAATTGAGAAATCGAATATAAAACCGTTGAAAAATTGAAAAATCTAAAGTTTAATGAAAAATTGAAAATCGAAAAACTAAAAAATCGAGAAATATTGAAAAATCCCAAAACTGAAAGAAATATCCAAAAAATTGAGAAATTAAAAAATTGAAAAAATGAGACATTGAAAAGTTAAAAAAGCAAAGTCGAAAAACCGTAAGCTTAAAAAATCGAAAAATTGAAAAATCAAAAACCTGAAAAATCGAAAAATTGAAGAATTGTAGAAGTGAAAAATCGAAAGTTTGGAAAGTCGAGAAATTGGAAAAAAGAATACTTCAGAGATTGGAAAACTAAAAATTTAGAACGTCCAAATTTGAAAAATTGAAAAATCGAAACACTTTTTTAAAAATCGTGAAATTGAAGAGAACAAAACTTGAGAAATCATCACTGAAGCATAGAAAAATTGGGAAATCGAAAATTTGAAAAATGAAAAAATTGAAAAAACCCAAAATTGAAATATCGAAAAATTGAGATATCTAAAGTTGAAAAAATTCCTGGGGGACATGAACGGATAAATTTTGACTAATGATTTAACACGTGTCCAAAAACTAGAAATTGGAAAATGTTGATTTTTTCCAAAAATCTTGGATACAAAACATTATTTAGATTTGTTTAAAAAAAAATCCAAGCAGTCAGTTTCATTTTTTACAACAATACTGTGACATTTTTTTGGATAAAATACATTTAAAAGTAAAAACTAAAATTCAGAGGACATTGAAAATAAACAAGTTGATGACAATGAATTATTACACGAAAATAAAAACGTGTCCAAAAAAACATAAATGACCAACACATCTTTTATTAAAAAATATATGCAAGAATGATCAAAAATGTCAATGCTAGCAAATATTTTAATTCCAACAATAAACAATGTCTTGGTAGAACTTGATAATGATCGCGGTGATTGTATCTGAGCTAAAGTTTAGAGAGGTCATGTTTAAAATTCGCAAAAAATTAAAATTATTTGACATATAAAACAGTCACTTTTTCCATTGTTTGCATTCCTTCCGAAAAAAATAGAAGATAACACTTGTGTTTACACAGGCGACAAAAAATTTTTAGCTCCCAGTTGGTCAAATATTTGTACACAATTTTAAAAGCATCGAACACTTATTTAGAATCAACACAATTCGATTTCTATTTCAATGAATGTGACTTAAAAGCTTCCTGAAGTATAAAATACGTAACAAGCTTGTTTTAAATACAATTATTAAAATATTATTATTAATGACTGCACGTGTTTATAAAATGAGCACACTTGTCAATACATCATAAAAATTAATTTAATTCATTGTCGCACTCTTTTATTAGAAGGTAATTTATAAATGGCCACAATAACTCATAAAATACATTTCAAGTACGCTCATCCCGACTAAGATTAATTACAACAACTTACCAACCATTTGTTAATTCTCTCTCAAACGAAATAAATCTTCTACAAATTACCTCTCACAATTTAAAAAATACGTGTAAACAGCAACTCAAACACCGTCAAATTAGGTTAACAAATCTCACACTAACAAAGAATGGTAAGTAAGCGCGAAAATTATCCTTGTTTACTTACACGTTAATTTTTTCGTCAATACTGGCACTCAATCATTAAAGCTATCCGCTGACCTATGCCTGGGTATTGATGTAACTATTTTCGTGACATTCATAAAAATTATTGTTATTATGGTGCAATTAAAATTTAGTATTCTGAATTTCCGGTTTTTTGCATCGATTGACATTACTGGAAGCTCCTTCAGAAGTCGCTTAATTATTCCATTTCATTCACCTGATAAGTGTCGCTTTGCAAATATGACATCAGAAATGTACACAGAATAGTATTGTGTATAAACGTCCTTACGAGTGATGTCAGCGAAGGTTAGGTATTGACACATAATTAGAAACATTTTCCCTACTTTCAACACTTATTTTTGGAATAAAGTGGAGGAAAATGTGAATTAGCACCTCAGTGTTGTCGCTTAAATTAATAATAATAAAAAAATGTTGGAATGTTTTAATTAGCGTAAACGAAAAAAATATTTACTAAGTTGACACAAATTTTGATAATTTTTTTCGTGATAGAAAATTATTTCAGCTTACCTTAATCAACAACGGTCTGGCCATAATTACGTTACAGCTTCACTCAACTATAATAATTTTCAAATTTTACAACTCGTAGTAAACTCAGTAATTCATAACTAAGCCAACACCGTAATAGTAAGGTGGCATCCTTCTAATATCCTATACTAACCTCCCCGCCACCTCTTTTATCACAGATTCAAAGGCGTTAATCATAGCTTTTATGTAAATCTCCGCAGCCGTCAGAGTCGTCCGAAGCACCAAAAAGACCACCGAAGGCCCCTCCATTGTCTATTTCCTCTCATTTTTCTCGTAAATCGTAACCTTACATCGTTATCCGAGAAACAAACACGCCTACATTGCGCTTAACACGGCCCTGACATCGGTGTTGGCAATCATCAATTACGATTTTTTGGATTGAAGATTTTCCTTCAGTTTGCTTCCGTGACGGATTTTCTTCCGGATGGGTTTCGCTGGAATTGAGATAGTTTAACTAATTTATGGATTATTCACAAGATGAGGGATGAGTTATTGCGAGCGTGACAAACCAAGGATTATTTTTGCGATTTTACGATTTTGTAGAGTGATGGGTTGGCCGAGCGCCTGAAGACAGGTCGAAGACGGGGATTGTTACAAAATTGTTATGTAAATGCGTTATTTTCGTGTAGTAATTGAGTTTGTTCAACAAATCAGCACGCAAAAGATGGATGGCACGAAATTTGAGGAGATGGCCTTTAGAGATACAAATTAACAGGAGTTGTGGTCAGTAGTTAGGGTTTTGATTTATGGTGAAAGATGTGGGAGTGGAAGTTAAAAATTCTTTAGCGTTATTAAGGTAAAATACGGAAACGTATTGTACAAATACAGGAAAACGTTTTTTGTGGAATGGTAGTAGAGATAAAGTGCATGCATTTTCTTCCAGCAAGTCGAAAGCAATTATTGTTAATATTCGTCTTAAATGTTTATGCAAATTTATGTTTTTTTTTTTTGATTTAGTAAAAAGTTTCTACAGTTATTAAGACGTTTCTTTTTCATTACACATTAAGAAAGAAGTATCCTTGAAAAAAAATGACAAGACACTAACTTAATTTTTTTTTATAAATTTGGTGAAATGTAGACGTCTAAAAAACGTAAATTTAGATTTGATTTTAGAAGCATAAAAAGTTGATGTTGTCTTCAGATTTAATAAAATATTAAAACACTGAAAAACTAAAACTCTTACATTATCGCTCAGTCAAAGAGATTGAATTTGAATTTTTCCACAGTCTCAAAAGCAAAAGACCATGAATATAGAATTTTTCGATGGGTTAATAAATCATAGCTACAAAAGAATATTATGATGTACATTTTAATCAGGTCAGGTTAAGTCAAATTTACTTAGTAAAATTTCAAGCCGATGCGATATCATGAAATTTTTGATAAGGATGATCGAATCGCTGCTAGGCATAAAATTGACAACAGACTTCTATATATTCTAGAAAATAATGAAACTCTTTTATTATTGTAAAATGTTGTTATAAAATTTTGATTTATTTTTGCAAAATTTGGCTGCCTAAAAAGTCAAGGCGGATTCATATACCACAGTTACGGGAAACTGATCAAGGATGGACTAGAACCCGCACTACATGATTATTTTACAAAGTGTGCTAAAATCTACTGAAAATTTTAATTTAACTACTTTCATAACGAAATTTTCCACCAAAAATTACTTAAAAAGTATAAACACTTTTTTACTTACTGAACATAAGCCAAGGATGTAATTTCCTAGGGAAATTAAGGAAAAATGTATTAAATTCTACTGAAAATAGTAATTTAACTACTTTCATGACTGAATTTTCCAGCAAAAATGTTCTCAGTTTTTTAGTATTTTTACTTACCGAGTGTAAGCCAAGATGTACATGCAGGGTCCATATGAGGAATGGCTACTTTCATGTTTTCTCAATGTTTGATGCTCGCTACAGTACCGAAAGTATTGTCGTTTGTGTCGACTTCTATTAGACATACATATAATCTTCAAAACCCTTCAGTTTCATATACTATTTTAACTTACAGAAGTACGCTATTTTATACAATTTAGGTAGTATTTATACTTCTGTAAGTTATGTACTTGTAGTTCATGAATCGGCCTTGATTTTTATCGCAATTATTTTTTTCAAACATGTTGTGTAATAGTTGGCGTAGCCGCGTAACCACCTGCAGATGGTTTCCACGTCTATATTCTGTGAGTTCGAATCACGTCCTCGGCCGGGATTTTTCTATCACTACGAATTTGTTAGAACGTTTGAGTTCAGGTGCGAGGGAAGTTCTATCTGAATAACTTTAAGATAATATTTTATTCAATAATTGTTATTGTCAATTATTTTCAATTTTTAAATTATCGAAATTTTTAAAAATGATTAAAACAAAGACCGATTTTTTAGCTGTGCACTTTAATTGACCTTTAAAATAATGTATCAAAGAGTGAAATTGTATTTGTTCATTCTGAAAATAACCAGCTGATTTAATAATTATAATTATTAATAGAGATCGGGTGGGCGGGGCTACACTTTGCCCAGGTAAAGCTGAACAATATTAATAGTAGTCACTGGAATAAAGAGGGGGTAGATGGGCGGAGCTACTGCTTGACAAGCGGTAGTAGCAAATATTTAAAATAAAATAAAAAGTAGTACTCTATTTTGATGATCTATTCTTATTAGCTCTAAAGAGGAAGGGATGAATCTTATATTGATAAATAATAGAATCTAGAATTACATTTTTTTTAAATAACATTTATTTTTTGTTAAATTGTTTCAATTTTTAGATTTTGCAATTTTTCGATCAGAAATTTTACGAGTTTTCAATTTTTAATTTTTCAATTTTACATTTTTTCCACTTTTCGAATTTTTCGAATTGCTTTTTTTCAGTTTTTCTTTTTTTTGTTAGTACTTGCTAAGATAAGACTGATTTTAGCAGATGACATTGCCTCTAAGAAAATAGAGGGCGGGTGGGCGGGCCTAGTACTCGCTAAGATAAGACTAATTTTGGCAAATGACCTACTCTCTAAGAAAATAGAGGGCGGGTGGGTGGGGCTACTATTTGCTAAGAGAAGACTGAACAATATTAAGAGTAATCACTGGAAAAAAGAGGTGGTAGAGATGGACAAGGCTACTGCATGCTTTTAAGACTCTTTAGAAAAAAACCTAAAGTCAGCTCCACCCATCTCGTTTCACTAGTTCACTGACTTATTTTATTTATTGTAAAATGGGAATTGAATTCTATTTTGACAAGCGATAGAATCTAATGTTTAAAAGAAAGTAAAAAGTGGCCCCGCCCACCCACCCCTACTCCATTTTGATCATCTATTCGTATTGGCTCTAAAGAAGCGGAGATGCGTTTTATATTGATAAATAATATAGTCTAGGATTACATTTTTTTAAATAACATTTAATTTTTATTAAATTGTTTCAGTTTTTAGATTTTATAATTTGTCGATCAGCAATTTCACGAGATTTCAATTTTTAATTTTTCAATTTTTCATTTCCTCCCTTTTTCAGTTTTCCATCTTTTTGTTAGTATTTGCTAAGATTTTAGCAGTGACATTGCCATTAAGAAAATAAAGGGCGGGTGGGCGGGCCTAGTGTTCGCTAGAATAAGACTAAATTTAGCAAATGACATACTCTCTAAGAAAATAGAGGGCGGGTGGGCGGGGCTACTACTTGCTAAGATAAGACTGAACAATATTAAGAGTAGTTACTGGAATAAAGAGGGGGCAGATGGGTGGGGCTACTGCTAGCTTATACCCTCTATATTCAGTCCACTAACTTATTTTATTCACTGTAAAATTGGAATTGGATTCTATTTTGACAAATGGTAGAATCTAAGGTTTAAACAAAGTAAAAAGTGGCCCAGCCCACCCATCCTTATTCTGTTTTGATCACCTAGTCTTACTGGCTCTAAAGAAGAGGAGATTAATTTTATATTGATAAAACATAGAATCTAAGATTATATATTTTTAAGTAATATTTAATTTTTATTAAATTGTTTCAATTTTTAGATTTTGTAATTTTTGGATTACCAATTTCACAAGTTTTTAATTTTTCAATTTTTTATTTCTTTCATTTTTCTATTTGCAATTTTTCAGTTTTTAATTTTTTTATTAGGACTTGTTAAGATAAGACTGATTTTAGCGGACGACATTGCCTCTAAAAAGATAGAGGTCGGGTGGGCGGGGCTATGATCAGCTATTCTTATTGGTCCTAAAGAAGGGGAGATGAATTTTACATTGATAAATAACAGAATTTAGGATAATATATCTTTTTTAATAATATTTAATTTGTATTAAATTGTTTAAATTTTTAGATTTTGCAATTTTTCGTCGAGTAATTTTACGAGTTTTCAATTTTTAATTTTTCAATTTTTCATTTCTTCCATTTTTTGATTTACAATTTTTCAGTTTTTAATTTTTTTGTTAGTACTTGCTAAGACAAGACTGATTTTAGCAGATGAGATTGCCTCTAAGAAAATAGTGGGCGGGTGGGCGGGGCTCCGGCTTGCTAAGATAAGACTGAACAATATTAAGAGTAGTTGCTGGAATAAAGCGGGGGTAGGTGGGCGGGGCTACTGCTTGCTTTTTAGAAAAAGGCTAACTCAGCTCCGCCCAACTTATTTTCTCTATTTCACTGAGTTATTTTATTTACTGTAAAATGGGAATTGAGTTCTATTTTGACAAGCGGTAGAATCTGAGGTTTAAAACAAAGTAAAAAATGGCCCCGCCCACCCACCCCTACTCCATTTTGATCATCTAGTCTTATTGGCTTTAAGGAAGCGGAGATGAATTTTATATTGATAAATAATTTAATCTAGGATTACATTTTTTTAAATAACATTTAATTTTTATTAAATTGTTTCAGTTTTTTGATTTTGCAATTTTTCGATCAGTAATTTCACGAGATTTCAATTTTTAATTTTGCATTTCTTCTATTTTTCAGTTTTTCATGTTTTTATTAGTATTTGGTAAGATAAGACTGATCTTAGCAGATGATGACATTGCCTCTAAGAAAATAGTACCTAGTACTCGCTAGGATAAGACAAATTTTGGCAAATGACATACTCTCTAAGAAAATAGAGGGCGGGTGGGTGGGGCTAGTACTTGCTAAGA